AAAATCTTACTGAAAAGTACCCTGAGTTAATGATTTTGGCAACGTGTTTCCCATTACTGTTTGGCCGTTGGAGAGTTTCCGAGTGTAATATTTATTCAATTACGTTTTATTAGATTTTGGTGAGTTAAAATGGTGGGGTCGAAAAGTATCTTCCAAATATTCATATATATATATATATATATATATATATATATATATATATATGTGTGTGTGTGTGTGTATATATATATATATATATATATATATATATATATATATATATATATATATACATACATATAATTATAGATAACTAGACTCGTTTTTGAAAAAAACCTCGAATTTTTGATTTGCTAATAATCAAATCAATCTCGAGGGAAAAAAAAGTTTTAAAAAAAAGAAAGAGCTACAAACCTGAATTTCTGCCGACAAAAAAATCGCACAGATACAGGTCTGGAAGCCCAAAGAAAAAAACCCGGTACGAGTAAACAACTAACTAACAAAAAGAGCTCAATACAACCGTAGAGCAGACCTAGATACATTTAGTGAGTTAGACAAACCTACCTAGGTTTCACCTAAACGGATCATCAAGGCTTACTTTCCCTGACGATCCGTTTAGGTGAAATCTAGGTAGGTTTGTCTGGCTCACTAGGTGTATCTATCTATCTATCTATCTATCTATCTATCTATATATATATATATATATATATATATATATATATATATATATATATATATATATATATATATATATATATATTAAGTAAAAGAGTGTCAATGCAAAATAATAGCGCTATAAATATATAATAATGAATATACATAATACCCGACGCCGACTGTATATATATATGGCTCCATGTTTTCCAGCCAACTTTAATCTCCCAAAAATTAAATGCAATGTCAATCGCTATATTTTGTCGTCCTGGTTACCCTTTTCTCTTTACGCTCATGTGTAACGATTCTGTTCCTAATTCTCCCATACCCAGTAGCCTCTTATGTCTTAATGGTATACTGTCTTGCTTAGGGTGAAATCGATGAATATATATATATATATATATATATATATATATATATATATATATATATATATATATATATATATTTCCTAGGTCCGTTGATGAAGGACACAGGCGTGTCCGAAAATTCCGAATATAAAAACTTTCCCTCTGTGTTTCATTTCTGTCATATGGTTAATGAATAATATTTAATAAATGTTTATCATCCTGATCATATGGGCACCCTTTCGTTTGTCATTGTTTTGTTAACTAACATATTTACACGCACACATACACGGACGCACACACACACACACACACACACACACACACACACACACACACACACACACACACACATATATATATATATATATATATATATATATATATATATAGCGTCAACATTAAAAAGTTTCATAAAATAAAATAAATATGGAGCCTAATTTTTTTTTTTTTAATTCAAATAAGACGCTGGAAGGAACTACACATCGCTGCTTTGTTGTTTTTCCTATTTTTCTCCCTGTCTTGCTATTTCCTCCCCTTTTAGATCTATTTCTCTTATCTGTCGTCTTTTCCTCCTTTTTTTTACTTCCTGTCTCTTATTTAAATAAATAAAAAAGCTTCATATTTATTTTATTTAACATTTTGGTCTTGACAAGTTCCTGAGAAGCGAAATGGCAATTCAAATGGTGTATTTGTGAATTCTATTTATTTGTAATTTATTCATATATTCTCTGTAATCTGTAATAAACACATTGAGCTGTATGTATGAATTAGTTTTTTTAATATCTTATATTATTAAAATTCCCTTTGATTACATAAGCACGATTTTTTTATATATATATATATATATATATATATATATATATATATATATATATATATATATATATATATATATATATTGCAAATTGAGTGTTTGTGCTAATATATATATTGCAAATTGAGTGTTTGTGCTAATAAAATATTAAAGAGAAATATAATTTACATCTATCATAATAAAGCGTTATTTTTTCGATCTCGGCGAATCCCAAGCAACAGGTGTGAAGTAATCCACAGTTATCTCCCTTGTCAAGAAATGGTCCTTGCCTTCGCTATAAAATCGGTTTCTAGGCTAGATACAGACTGTTTAATTCTGTTCAGCTACGAAAATCTTCACAATCAAGCTAGGTTCTTCTTACCATAAAATACAATTAATTGTTTAGATTTATTCGTAAGTTTACAAATTTGTGTATATGATCCCGACAGGGTTATAAATTATTGACAATTGGAAAAAAACGTCCATAAAATTATAATGTTTCGAAAAAAAATACATCCGACTATGTATCTTGCCGATTAGGCTTCATTAGATCGAAGGGGAAAAATGAGTTGCTTGTGTATGTATTTGAGAATGTTTAAAATTGAAAAAAAGAAAAAAAAACTCATTTTCTTTCTCTTTTAACGTCAGCTTGGTTAAAATATAAGACATCATTATTTTAAAGATACACAAATACAAACACACGCAACATTTTCTCGCTTGAGAGGCATAGGGATAACCCATAAAATGGTTCAGAAAAGTCCAGATGCCACTTCAGAACCGATAACATTACAGATTCTTCTTTGGATATTGTAGACTATCGTTCGATATATATTAAGGAAATAGACAACATATATAATGCGGTGCATAAATTGCCGTCTAAATTACGCACAGATGAAAATAACACATGTCATTTTAACAAAAGTATTTAACAAAATTGCGCAAAAATACCCAAGAATATATTCATTGAATAAAATCGTCTTTGGCTTCGAACACGGATCGAGAAGACCTCGGAATCTCCTGCAACTCTTCTGGAAGCTCTCCTTTTTTAAGTTTGTCAATAATTCCATAATCATTGTCTCCAGTTCATCTTTGTTGTAACAAGGTGTTTTTGTTTGTCTCTCGCTCAGCTGCGACTCGCACATAATAATGAAAGTTTTTTTCTAGTCTGGGGAAGCAAATAGCGAGATGTAAGGAGTGATGTGGTTGAAGAAATTGTCTGCCAGCCATGACAGGGTCCTCCTGCTTGTGTGGCATGATGAAAAGTCCTGTTGCTAGACATATGGTCTTCCATCAGCCACCCTCTTAACCTAGGGCACTATTATCCACTCAAGATTCTTGATGTAAGCCTCCGTGTTCGCTAACAAATTCAGGATCTCCTATTAAAAAACGATCATAGTAATTTCTCCAAGCTGACGAACATTCGTAATCACCATTAAACACATCCAACTCTTTCCGAATCTTCTGCACTCTCCTCAGATTGACATCCTAAAATATTTGTGCTGGAGCTAATGGTACATCTTGTGGTACAGCGTACTGCTTCCAAATTTCTGGTGGAATGAATTGCGTCACATTGCTCTTTTTCTCAGAGACGGTGCCCAACTGACCCTACTATACTGGCAATCAACAAAATCAAAAACAAATAATACGCATGCACGAAATAAAAAATAAAAAAGGCAATAATTTACCCACAGCATTCTGTATAATATATATATATATATATATATATATATATATATATAGCATAATGAGAAGCCATTACCATATCACCATTTTTTTTAATTTCAACTTTTTCTATATATATATATATATATATATATATATATATATATGTATATATACAGAGAGAGTTCATATTAGTTTATATGTCTTAAGATTGCATGTATTCATACTATATCTAGAAATGCGTAGACAAAGTTATAAGGATAAAGAAAATAATAACATTCGGGAGAAAGTCGTTATTACATGTAAAATTGAAATGACTTTCAGAGGAAGCAACGTTGTGATTCCATTTGGAAGTTTGCGTTCTTGTTTTTCCTTTGCTTTCATAGTGTTTTGCGTGAATGCCAACCATAAAATTTTTCCGCTATTTTTTTTTTTTTTTTTTGCTATCACAGCCAGCAGCATTCAATGCTGCAACAACAACAGGTGTGCGCAGGTGCCGGGCCAGAAAATGCACATCGCTTCCGACTAGTTGAAAATATTCCATTTTACAGAAAGATCAAAATGGAAGCCCACCGCACAAGAGAAATTCCCCATTGATTTTTTTATACTTTTTTTCTTTAGAGTTACTTTCTTTCCAGCCTTCTCTCACGCTAGTTTACTAATTCCTCCTCACTTGATATATATATATATATATATATATATATATATATATATATATATATATATATATTGTCTTTTTACCTTCTTATTTCGTTCACATAATTTTTTCTTTCATCTGGAATATTCTCTGGTTTTCTATCTTCTTTAGTTTTTTTTCTTACTTATATCTAAATATATGTTATTACTGATATATATATATATATATATATATATATATATATATATATATATATATATATATATATATATGTGTGTGTGTGTGTGTGTGTGTGTGTGTGTTGAAGTTTTTGTCATTATCACGTATTTTTCGATAATATTATATTTTTTAAGCCAATCTCCACTTTATTGGCTTACGACCATATCACATTCAAACACCGGCTTTCGTATAATCAACGTCGAGACTGGTCAGTACCTAAAGGGGTGACTGCTTGAGGATACCTGGTGCTGCAAGCTTGGATGTGCGGTCGATATAAACGGCATACGACCATATCACGTTGAAACATATGTTCACATACGATCACAGAAGTTAAGCAACGTCGAGCCCGTTCAGCACCTATGGCCGCTTTTGAATAGTAGATGTTGTAAGCTTGAATGTGTGTGCGTGATATAAAGTGCTTACGACAATATCATGCTTACACCTCTATTATCGGTTCTCGTACCTTCACCGAAGTTAAGCAACATCAAGCCTGGTCAGTATCTAAATGGATGACCACTTGGGAATACCAGATCTAAGCTTGGATATGCGTGTGATATAAAGATATTACGGCCATATCACGTTGAAACAGAGGTTCCCGTACGATAACCGAAATAAAGCAACGTCGAGCCTGTACAAGACCTAGATGGTTGACCGCTTGGGAATACCCGGTGCTGCAAAGCCTGGATGTGCGGGTGATATAAAAATTTTACGGCCATATCACGTTGAAACACCGGTTCTCGTATGATCACTGAAGTTAAGCAACGTTGAGCTTGGACAGTACCCCGATAGGTAACCGCTTGAATATAGCAGGTGCTGTTAGCGTAGATCTGCTGAGTTTTAATTCAAGTCAGGTTCATTATATTCACTAACGCAAATAAAATTTAAAAAGGTATAATTCCATCTGTTCTCCTCCCGGCTATGGGTTACTTAGTAGAAATTTTTTTCATTGAAAGCATTAACTTCATAAAATCTTTGCAATCTAAACATATTTCTGGCTTTAAAAAAGCAAAGAATATTGATAAACTATAAAATACAAATCAATCAATTTGTTATTTATTAAGATTACTTCACTTAGATATAGAGTTACTGCGATGCAGTAGGTAAGATGATTGTAGTACACTAATATAGAAAATACATTTACATTTATATATATATATATATATATATATATATATATATATATATATATATATATATATAAAGAAAAGAAAGAAAGAAAAAGTAAGATTAAGTAAAAACCCAGTAATTTTAAAAGTTACTCTAAAATTCGCTTCAGAATGAAATAGAACTGTTTTTTAAATTAATTACAAAATTAAATTCGGAGCTTTTAGCTTTCATTTTTGAAACATGGTTAGAACTGTGTAGCGAAAAAAACAATCAATCAATTAATTTATTTTTATATATATATATATATATATATATATACATTCATATATATATATATATATATATATATATATATATATATATATATATATATATATATATATAGTCTTAACAGACATTGAATTATGTCACTTTGTTTCCTCCGAATGTTTTGACTGTCATTTCAACAACATGGTGAATATTTATGAAAATTCTCAAATTTAAATGTCTTCAGAAAAAAGATGACATCCTTGTTCTTGTATGTAAACACGGTCAACAAAATAAATCCTTAGTTTGCCTTTGTTGTAAATTAGAAAAAGCTTACTGAATGAGGATTAACGAAAACGGAGATTAAGAATGAAGATTATCCTGCTATTTGCCCATACCTGGGTGATGGGGAGAACAGTGAATATAATGAATTCAAATAGAACAGAAACTCGGCCTCCGATTCCTTAATCCGAGCCTCAATCCATTACTCACATACACACACACACAGAGGCATATATATATATATATATATATATATATATATATATATATATATATATATATATATATACAAATGAAAGAAAGAAAATGATGACGTAAAGTTCCAATGTTCATAGCATTTTATTTTGAAAAAGTGCTCAATACAAAGTAGAGCAAGATATTATTTTTATTATAAGAAATTATAATAAATATACATATTGTAGAAGGAATGGCCTGCCTTGAATTCACCGCTCGAATTATCTATCCATCTGTATATCAACGAAAGTCTCTTCCTCATCAAAGATGAGGAAGAGACTTGAAGCAACAGAAATCTGCTTTTACCAAAAGAGGCTGAGGATACCGTTAACCGAACATATGAGAAACAGCGATGTTTTGGAAAGAAAGGAAACAAAAAAGGAAACATATTCAACATTAGAAAGAGAGAGTTGAAATTTATGGATATATAATGAGGAAGGAAGGCTTAGAAAATCTAATACTCACGGGAAAGTTTGGCCAAAAAATGGTACAGAGGAAAGCAGCGTTATATACTTGATGGGCTTGAACAATATATGGCAGAACAAGGTTTCTGCAGAAATAACAAAAACACACAATTTATTAAGCGCTATAAGGGACATGAATATGTGAAGGCCCATGATCGCCTCCGTCCTGAAGAGACACGGTACATAAATAAATAAAATAATCTCGACGAATGAATTTTTCTTTTTTGTATTGTTGGGTTCTATTTCACTTAGTTTCACTTTTGCCCTTTTCTCGCCTTGTCAATAATTCATTTTTCCTTCATTTAAGTTTTCTTTGTATTGTTGGGTTCTATTTCACATTTTTTTAGTTTCACTTTTGCCCTTATCTATATATATCTATCTATCTATATATATATATATATATATATATATATATATATTTCCTCATAATTTTTTATTCTTTTTCTCTCAATTTGTCCCTCATCATATTATTTTAGTTTCTTTCATTTTGTTTCTTTGCTTTAATCCGGCATTTTCTCAGTATGTTTTTGTCCATTTCCTTTTCCCTCGACAACTTTAATAAGAAATTCCGTATGTCTCTTCCCCACTAACAGGCACTAGGCTAGGCGGGAGAATAGGCCAATATAAGACATCATGGCGCATAGAGTTCCCATTCGGATCGTCACAGAAGGCAGTTTTTTTCCATCTCTCATTGATCATGCCATAAAATCACTAAGAAATACAATGTGTTACAATATATAATGTTGAGAACGCAACACTATAATCATTCGTACATTAAAAAACATCAATGCATACATACATACATACATATATATATATATATATATATATATATATATATATATATATATATATATATATACGTTTCATTAAATAATATAGACAAGTGTTGTCTATTTATTTTATGTAAAATTTTTCGTATCTTCTAAGTTTGATAACATTATCATTAAACGAAGAAATAAAATAAATAGACAACACTTGTCTATATTATTTAATGAAACGTGTATAAATGAAAATATGCTGCCTAAATACACACAATATATATATATATATATATATATATATATATATATATATATATATATATATATATATATATACACTTCTTGTCTACGTAACTATATTTTCATAAACATACATTATATATATATATATATATATATGTGTGTGTGTGTGTGTGTGTGTGTGTGTGTGTCTGTCTGTCTGTGTGTGTGTATGTGCCTATGTTTGTATGGATGGGACATGCACACACAGGCACACACAGGCACACACACAGGAACACACACACACACACACACACACACACACACATATATATATATATATATATATATATATATATATATATATATATGTGTGTTTGCCTGTGTGCGTGTGCTTTAAGTTTTGAGCGTTTGTAGATAGAAAAAATCGAGTGTATGGAGTGTATAGTTATCAACAGATACAAAGCAAGGTGACTATATAATCGAGTCTTAAGCTAACCATAGTATGTGTGTATATATATATATATATATATATATATATATATATATATATTGTTGATCGAGGCCTTATTTGAAAGTAACTGTCTAATATTGCCGTGATCCCTATGTTGCTTATTAATGTGTTGTCTGATGGCACTCTGATCCAATAGATGGCAGGTGAATCTCAGTGAGATTATAGTTGTGGTATATCCTATGTAAGACCTTTTGTGTTTTTTTATTCACAGAAAAATATTTTCCAGTGGCCATGTATTTTCATACGCATCTTTTGTCTTGTATAGGCACGTAGAAGTTTGGGATATATTATTTTTTAATATTTTTTGTCCTAAATAATGAACTTGATATGTTTATTTTTATTGTCGTTTATTTTTATCGACATATGAGCGTGTGTGTTTACCACGCAGGTATACAGAAGGTTACAGTTCAGCAAGATACTATTTTCCCTTTGAAGGGAACTGCAATTCCTGGTCCAGATGATTTTGTTTTGGAAAAGCTCATATCTGCTGAGTTTTCTATCCGAAATGTAAACAAAGCAATTTTTAAAGAATTAATGGATTTTTTTAAAAATACAATATATTTATTACTTCACCTGTGATATAAACAGGTTTTTTGGTTGTTTTTGTTTTTTTTTATAGTGGTGTTTTCAATGATAGTTCTTAAATGAACCATTATGAATAATAGTAAATGTTGCATCATCACTACGGAAGATAATGCTACGTCCCCATTCACATAAATATAGTAGTAAATACTGTATATTTGTCTGCAGTGGGATATTCGTCTCTAGCTGTGCTGGTCAAAGACTCTGCCTCCGTACAAAGAGGATCCCCAGACGAGGTTCTGTCGAAGGTCAGAGTCTCGTCTCGGGAAACAGCTAACCGGCCCCGTTTTATACGGGGTCTACGGTGAATTTTTGGCCGAGCCTACGGGCTCGAATACCCCACATTAAATTCGGCATTGTGTCACATCGGACCACAAGGGGCGCTTGATAGATATCCTTAAGTTGGAGATTCATTGTGTAATTCACTTGACTCACTTCTAGCAATATTATCGTTCATTACCAACCTTAGTTTGATTATTCTATTCAGCAACATGTAGGTGACAACAGCAAAAGAAACTATTTCGAGTTGGAATGGTAAAAGAAATTGCATAGATGCTGATCTCGTATGACGAGTACGACAACACAGTTTGCCTAAAGGTTTTAAAGTTGTTATTTGAATAACTATCTACTCCTCCCTATAAGCCTATTCTTTAGTCATGTCAAAATCCTTATAGTTGTGAATGTTCGTTCAATTCTTCAGAAAAAAAAAACTACTCGCCATTATAGCCATTATCAATAATGCTGATGTATGAGCGTCTTCGTCTCTTCCCATAATCTCCTGTTCCTCTAGAATTTTTCTAGACGCTTCTGACCGTATCAGCATTTCCGTGGAGGACCGGAGCGATTAACATCATAACATCTAGCAATATCCAGATATTTATCTCAAATTTAAATTTTAATCTATACTTTGAACTCAAGGAAGAGTAAATTCCAATATGTGGCATATTTTCGTTTCATTTGTTTACAAAATCTAGCACATTTTCTTTTTACAAATCCAATATTTTTCATAGTTTTACATGTAATCATGTTTTTTTTTGTCTTTATTTTGCATCACTTCACAAGACACCAGAAGTGTTGAAACAAAATAGCTATTTTTGTAGTGATTTTATAACATGCTTATGTTATAATATTTAAATAAATATTAATAAAGCGATCTCTCCCAGAAACTGTAACTAAAGTTTTCTCAGCATAGTTGTTTCATGAACCACAGATGGGCTTTTGAACAACCACAAATGTGCCTGACCAGGTGTCTGTAATGAGATAGCATAGCAGAGTTGGTAGAGTGGCATCCTCAAATAAATTCGAGTGGCTACACCATTTAATATATATAATGCAGTGTTACATTAGAACATGCACATATTCACTACAAAATTGTACATTTTTGCTCCAACGTCAAAAAAAGGGAAG